CCGGTGTGAGCTTCCACGAGGAACCTCTGTTTACAATTTCGCTGTTTGCCCGACGACTGAAGAAGGTTTTCCACCTCAGACGTGGACTAAGAACAGAGACTGCCGACATGTTTCACTCCCGGAACGAAGTTTCCCTCGAGTTCTTTCATTCGTCTCGCCTCGCGTCCTCGTCCACCGCGCGAACTTCCTCTCCTCGCGATTTCTGCGAACGTAACGACGGAGAACAGGCGCATCGAGACGGGGAAAAAAAAGATCGCGCGCGATCGGACACCACACTACAATGATCATCGCTCTAATTCTCATCTTTCACTTTTTTACGACGCGCCGAAAATCCGGCGTTAAAAATAAAAGTGCACGTCTGCGTACACTAGTGTAATGAGCACGAAAGAACGAATTACCTGCGGAAGTTTCTCGCAACTTATATCTGATGAAAGGGTATTACGGAGCGAAGGAAGCCCCGCCGCTGGCCCGAGGGCAAATTCATTTCTGGTACACGCGAAGTCGGCGCTGCGCGGGGCAAGAGGAGGGCAGGAAAAATCAAGAAAATAGGAAGTGTATACGACGACGAGTTGGAAAATCGAGAAACAAGAGATTCCGGGCGGAAGTTCGAAAATTTTTCATTTCGTGCTCGCCTTTTCGCGTTGTCCTTCGCTTCCACGGGAGTGTACTTCTTACTTGATTACAGGAGAAACTGATTTATAAAGGTTGCGCTTGTAGAACTCCGAGAAAACTAGGACCATTCGACGAGCCTTCACGCTTGCGAGCGAGCGGACGAATAATATGCGAGAGAGGAATACGCGTCGCCTCGCGAGAAAGCCCTATAATTAATTTCTCGTCGAAGCGCAGCGAGAACTCGGAAGACGATACTCGCGCTTAACACCACTTTCAATATCGCCTGTAAATACACCGGCGCATAATGCAATTTTACCAGCTTGTCGATAACGTTACGATGTGTATACGGCGCGTACTATTTATGTACTTCCCAAGAACCGCTCTCGTACGCGATAATCGGCTTTCGATGGCCCTGAACGGAGGAGCGTGACGCAGGTCTCGCGTGTATGAAGCGTCAGAAAATAATATGTAAATAATAAAAAGTATCGTTCAACCGAAGTATTTATATATCACGAAAAACAAGATCTTAAAATATTTATGACAAAAATAACATAAATAAAGTCTCTATATAATTACCGATTTACACATACATTATCGAACATTTCGTTTCACAAGAGAGAAGATATATTTCGTACTCTTGTAATATTCTAGTATTTACGACACGGAGATTACTCATCTCTTATTAAAAGTATTTCAAAATTCATATTCACCGTGATATACCGCGCAGATCTTAAGACAACCCACCTACAGCGTTTGTGAGGGATGGGAGGGACTTGTCAAACTGAAATTCCGGCTACAGTCTTATACCGAATTCATTGTCGCAATAAACTCCGCGTCGTAAAAGGCGAGAACGTCCGTCCGTCCCTAGTTGAGAGGGCCGGATAAGAAAAGGCAGACGCGAGAGAAGTTTCGGGGTGGATATTCCCGTGGAAGACAGCAAGGCAGCAAGTTACCGTACACACGTAGTGGCTCGGCGTTAAATGTATATTTAATATCGTCATTTAGAAGCAACACGGGAGGGGCGGCCGTTTGTATTTCGGATGTCGGCGGAATTGTTTACTGCCGTGCGTGCGCGCCGTCACGCGCTCGCCTACATCGGCCACGTGTACATCTTCGCGTTTCGCTTCGGAATTTCAAGTATCCCCTCTCTTATTCGCGATTTTACAGCCGTGTAAATCCCGCGAACGATTCCTTAATACTCGAGTGATGGCAAGTAGACGTAAAAGCGTTTCGGCGCGTCCGTCGGGTTCCGGCCAATCGTCCGGCTGCCGAATGATTTTCGTGCACGCCGACTCTGTCGGTATCGAATAGGTATCGTTGCAATCGGATGGGGGGTGATCGGATCGTCGGCGGAACGCCGGATTCCCGCTCGTCTCGAATTGGACGTTGCTTTATTGGACGTAGCGGTGGTTTATAGATTCCGATTTTCCCGGCGCGAGGGTCCGCGTTTGACTTTTACTCTCCTTTTACCATCCTACTCGCGCGCGTAGACGCTTCCCGCTCTTCCTCCCGCCGCTTCGACTATCGACTGCCGCATGCTTTATTCACGGCGCGGCCGGGCTCGTCTCGGCTGAGCATCCAACGTCGGAATTCGTTACGCGATCAGCAACGATGGACGACTTCTTTTTCGCGCCGACTCGATCGTACCGCCGTCCTCCGGAATCGATCAGACGATTTCGCCTTATCGTAACTCCGCTCCGTACGTACAAGCCGTAAGACTCATCGTCCTTCGTGAACCGCGCGAACCTGAGTGCCTCGACGAAGAAGTAACGCGCAGGAGAAAAAAAAAAGTCAAACTCGGGCGAGGCTGGTCTTATCGTTCGATGCACGTCCTCGAAGACGATGATAAAGATACAAAGATCGCGCCGGGCGCATCCCGTTGGAAGCGAAATTACCTGGTTTTCCGATTTTAGATCGAAATCGCTAAGCGATTGATGCTACCTATATCTTTTTCCATCGAATATAGATTTGTTCGGAAAAAAGTTATTTTCTCGCAACTTTTCGCTATGAAAAAAAATATTTTTGCGAGAACCGATATTTTTTCTTTTTATTTTCTAAAGCGTATCTGGATCAGTCGAATAGTTTTGAACGTACTCGATATCTCTCCCGTATAAAAACTACAATATCGAACGACAAAGGCCCCTTTACAAAAATAACAACAATCTAAACACTCGAAGTCGTAAATTTTGTCACTCAAAAACGCGTGATAAACGTATTAATTATATCGATCTGTTTTACTTGTCGTTCGTAAAACGCCAGGATCGCGGGTTTGATGTGTAACTTGTTTTGCGCTGTATTCTTCCAGCATCACCGTTCTTTTGTAGAATATCTGAGCCCGAAGCCAACTCCGGTCGTCTATTCCGGCCACGTACTATAACTCGCCTGGAACGCGTGCGGTCCCTCAGGGCGGACACACGAACTCGAAACGTTTCTTCCCCTTATGAAATTGTAACAGAGGTAGGATTAGCATGGGACATTGTCTCGGGCGAAGGGTAGGGTTGTACCGACGTTATCGAGATCGAGCCGTCTGCCGAAAATGTACTCGAATATCTATTCTCACTTTCGCTCTCGCGAAAATGCGTCGTTTTAAATGTACATCTTAAATCTTGACAAATGTCAGCCTCGCTTCTATTTTTATGCCGTTTTTTTCCGTTATTTGTGTGAATACAGTTAGCTTCGTATTATCATTGAAATGGAAATTTTACGAAAAAAAGATGTATCAAGAATAAACTGTGAGCAAATTTGCAGCGTGTTCGCAGCAATATGTAAGATTGATCGCTATGACGTCAAGGAAATTTACCGTAAATATTGAAAATTTAGACGGCCTGTCATATTCATCACATTTATGTGCTCGAAATTTAAACAACCACTTTACCATATTTTCCACTTTTGTCACGTTTCCTTTCACGTTTCCCTTTTTTTAACACACCCACTCAGAGCTCAAGATATATATCGCTAACGTCGATCCGACTTCACTCGACATTGTATTTCCCTTGCAGCGTCCAGAGCGATCGTTCCCGCTTCTGGCAGCCGGACGGATCATCATGCATGTATGTAAAATGCAAAATTGTATCATCTCGCGCGCGATATTCTTTCTTACGCTTCCTTCAGCTCGCGTCCACGTATCTCTCTCGCTTTCCAGTTCACCCTACGCCAACATCCCCCGCAGACCGAAATGCTCCAGAGACTTGGCAGAGGGGACAAAGAAGAGGGGGCGGTTTCTGCGGCCTGCTCTCGGGCCCGCCGTGACCGTTTCACGGCCACATCGCTGCGAGCAAAATCGAAATTCCGTCCCCGTTAATTCTCAATGGAATCGAACTCTACGGTGATGGCAGCGCACCAACCCCGCAATTTCATTGTAACTTGTAACCGAACCCGAAAGCCAAGAATCCACGTAGCGCGAAATTACGAAAATCAATCGGTGAAAGTTGCTGAAAATAAAACTAGCAGAGTCTCTTAGTTAGATAAATTTTCGTAATACATTCTTGTATAATTGTTTTTCATTCTCATACGAAATTGTTTAACGCTATCGAGATAATGTGTATGTGTGTTTTGTTGTGTTGGCGAAACCGACTATTAGAATTATTTCGCGTTGTTTCATCGTTTTCCCTGAATTTCGTAGCTCGTGCGCGGAAACAAGTTTGTCGCTATCGTTGGCATATTTTCGAGCAAGTTGCCCGCGGAAACCCAACGTGCCCAACATAAGCTACATTCGTGCGAACTCTGTACCACTCACCGCGGTAAACACTCTGGGATAACTTGGCTAGAACGGTCCGTCCGCACCGAATAATTCGCGCGTGCACATCAATTCGCCTCCGTGTACCTATTTAATGATCACGAGCGACCCGGCGAAACGCCCGGAGGCGAGGAAGTAACTATCTGCCATGCTTCGACGTTTTCGCATGCCCGCTTTCTGTGTGTCCAGTGACCGCATTGTCATCCACGTTAAAATTAGTTTCAGCGCCGCCACAATCGTCGCATCTGGCATGGAGTCCAGCGACGGGGACGACAGGACGAGGGCGGGGCAAATACTCGCGTTCCCTCTCCTGTTCGGGGCGGTTTTTCATCCTCGCGACAGGTGGTGGGTCCAACGATACGAATATAATTGCATTTTCGAATCGTCGTTTCTACCCCTCATCATAGCAGACCGTCGTTTTTTGTTGCCTGTCGATCTGTCCGAGAAATTATTTTTTCGTCGTTGACATTTTTTTATAGTAGAATAAGAATAGAATAAGAATCATTTTTTTTAAATAATATGAAAAGGAATTATATTCAAAATTATTAAGAACAAATTTCTGTCTAATAAAACGTTCCGTTGCGTACATATTATACATTCGTCGCTCAAAGTGTTTCGATATACTACATAAGATTTTTCATTTTTTTTCCAGAAAAAAAATCCATAATCATCGACTCTTTCAAACTGACAACACGTGGAAGTTTCTACTGTCGAAGCGCCAGACTTCTTGCCGGAGGCTGTAGGTCGAGAGAGAGAGAGAGAGAGAGAGAGAGAGAGCGCGGAGATCGGAACAGATGGGAAAAACTCGTAAGGAAAAGCTCGACGATTTTCCAATCGAGCCGCGGGGTGTTCGTTGTCCCTCCGAAGAGAACAAATCGACGAACAACGCCGACGATCGGATTGCGTTCCGGTCGAAATCAGCTGAATAAGTGAGATAGGCAGTCGCCAGTAGATGGAGGCGACTTGGCGCACCTTGTCGCAACCGGTAAGGGTTAAAAAGTAATTTTCTTTCTCCAGCCAAGTCGAATGAGCGTCTGGCAATTGGCCGTTGTTTCTAATACAAAAGCATCGGAGACAAGATTTCGATCTAGCAATTTCGATTTAATTTTCGCGAAAGAACGCATCGTATTTGTTAAGAAATATCTGTACACGCAAAAAAAAGTGAAAAACCATTGTTTAAAAACAACAAACTAAAGATTATCGATTTGAGAGATGGTGAAACATTCGTCACGTCTGTATAATCAAAAGGCACCCACGATTGTTCATTCCTCGGGCACTTGTGTGATACGTAAATGCACTTTGCGAGCTTTTAAATCAGACTCTCCGCGCACATTCACACCGAGTGAGGGAGCGCGTGAAAAAATCATCGTGCGACTCGTTCCGTCTACAATGGGTCGCTTAGTCTGCCCGGTAGATACGCGTCAGCTGTCCGAACGACGTCGATGTCGTTTCGCTCGGCTATGCATGATTGACAGTTTTATGGGGACGAGTGGCGGAGCGCCTGCTTTCCAAGTTACGATCGGGGCCCTGGTTTTATCGCCCCTCTTTCTCATCCCTCCATCCAACGGACACCAAACATTACGTGACGTTCGATGCTAATCGATACGAGGATACAGAAAAAGACAGCACGGCAGACTAAATCTTATCTGAGATTTACTGACCAACGAATTATTTACACAAAGTCTGCGCGAGGAGTTAATATCAAACTTCTTCAGGATATATTTGTATTAAGATTTTTATATTTACACTTTGTAACATTTCGGATTATTTTAGAGATACTCGGATATCTTTTCTTTTTCTGATATACCTTAGATATATCAATATACCTTAGATATTAATATACTAAGGTAAACATTTTATCGCGTAATTAAAAATTACGCGCACCGTTACAGTTCTACGTTGTTATTTTTCGCCTTATCACGCTAAAGGGTTCACGTTCACGTATTTAGAGCTAAATGCGGGCGTCCAATCTCGCTTGTCTGACGTGAACTCGATGTAAACATAAAATGGCCCGTGCTACCGCATTCAGCGCTAAATGCGCCGGTAGGGACCGGAGAATGTACAAAAGGTTGGACAACTCACCTCGCAGTTGGAGTGACTGATATTGCTGAGATTTAGCCTGAAGATCTTGTCCCTGAAAGCAGAAGAGGAAGGTTTCGTGTTAGCGTAACGGTCGAATTAAGCGTGGTTCGCGATAGACGAAAGGGTCGAGGGGTAAATTTTCATTCCCAACGTCTGCGAGATGCATTACTCTCCGTGACTCGACCCTACCTTATCTCGCCGCGCGGTTATGTATGGTTGTGTAGTGCGCCGCGGCGCTTTGCTTACGGACTCCTCTCCGCCATGGCTGGCGCTTGCAAACGGCACGGAATTTCTATGAGGGTTGGAAAAGGAGTCTGGAGGGTAAAATGGGGTGAGGTGCCCTTCTCTTTCTCTCTCTCTCTCTCTCTCTTTCTCTGACCGAATTCTACCGTTGTCCTTTCTTTGTTCGACGGTGGCCAAAGTCACGTCGTTTTCATACCGCCGCTCGCTTTCATTGGGATTTCATTCCACGAAAAGCCGTCGATTCACGTCGTGTACTCAACGAAGTTGACGAACGAAACAAACTACGAGTATATAATCGTGCGCCGCATCGTGAAAGTTTTCATGTTGAAATCAATGCAACCAGAAGTATGAATTAATCATGCAGCATTGATTTGACATTTCGACGTACAAATGATATATTTCATGCATTTCGATCAATACAGCGCACGGAGAGAACAGTACTGCACGAGGATTTTCCTATAAATCTCACGGCGACCAACCGCGCGGCAATCTGAGGTGCTACGTTCGATCATACGTGAAAGGTATACGCGCCGCCGGGCGCCGCCGATCGTAAATCGAATTTACCCAGTTTTCAAATGTTTCGCAACATTAACGCCGGCGCGCCGCATAACTTTATCCCAATAGCCATTCATCATCGCCTTTCAATAGAAATACGCAGTCAGACGGAATGCGCGCGCGGAACGTTAAAAAAAAAAGGAGAGGAAGAAAAAAAGAAAAGAGAAGAACGAGGCAGGAAGACCTATCCCTCAGCGCCTCTCCTTTTTCATTCATTCCGTGCATCGCGCCGTGAAAAAGTAAATACCAACGTGGAAAAACAAATCCGTACTTTGGAATCTACCCGCGTTGAACTTTCGTCCCGGTGAACTTTTAGAGGGTTCAGCAGGTGGAAAGGAAACGCAGGGGGGGGGAGGGTATCGTCTACGTGCTGGCACGTCGCTCATGCCATCGAAAGAAAAAATTCGTAGGAAAGTAATTTGTAGTGGGGGGAGAACGGGGGGAGGAAACCCGGAAGGTAAAGGGAGTTCCTGCGGAGTCATCGCTCAGTCGCTTTGAAATTCGATTGGTAAAACGTGCGTAATCAAACTGAGAAATTACTTTTGTGTTGGAAACCGCCGAGGAAAAGCAAAAAAAATTTCATTAAGATCTCATTGACACGATTCCGCGAGAAATAGAACATTTTCTAAAATAAAGAAAGTGTTACTCGAGAATTGCGAAAAGAATTCGGTTCAATTTAACATTTTACATCGCCTTAAGGGCCGCCGAGGGAAAGTTTAATTAAAATCTCGAGCAGTTTGCGCAGGTCGTACAGCAATTTCTTAAACTACTAAAGACGGCTTGTACCGTGCAAGAAATTTCAACAAATTTTATTGCTAATTACGCAAATAAGGACAAAGACTTAATTAAGATTTTATACCATGTACCGCTGAAAATTCTAAACAACAAGCATGACCATATACACGCTGTCCCGCTTTCCGGTCTAAAATAGGTTGCAGTTTGAAACAACAGCCACCACACCGTCGTTATGTTTCGCGCGCGCGCGCGCGCGCACACATTGGGTTTTGCTGGCGCAATACGGATATTTTCAACGTGGGCGAAAAGGAGCCTGACGAATGCCGGGCGAAATCCGAAAAGCATCGTTGTCTGAATTTGTGGCTGAGCGTGACGGACAGCTCTGACCCGGGATGCATTATCCAGCGCGTCGAGATCCACCCCTCGCTGCCGTCCCGCGGATTCTGGGTCTGGGGGAATACATGACAAGGGCCAGGGCCGTTTGCAGCGGTGCTATTTACCACGACGCCTTCGGGAAAGAGATGTATATCCGCGAGAGAGGTGAGTTAACATAATGGAACGATTTTAATAATTCCCGATATAAATCAACGAGAAGATACACGACGTGATACAGCTACGTCCGCATTTCAATAAACCGCAATGCAGATCTCTCTCGACATTATAATACGTCTCTTTTCACGAAATAACAGTGACGGGAAATAGCGATCGTAAGCGCGGTGCGATATGGAAGCGGGGAGGGCGAAAATATTACGAATGAAATGCCCGCGATTTAGCGCATTTTCAACTTAATTCTTTCTATACAATTTCAACGTACACCGACGAGTAATCCGCCAAATCGATATACGACATCCGAAGTGCTAACATCGTCGGAAAACATTCGGGAGAAAGCTCAATTACCACAGTTGGCTCTACAACGCCGCAAGCCCGTTGGCCGTTTTCACCGCTCGCAAACGTTTGCGACTGTAACTCACTTGGCCGCGCTATCTCGAGCTTTTCCCGGTTGTTTCAGTAACCGTTGCGAAGGTGAAATCTCTCCCGCCGTCGCGCGTTTCCGGGAACGGTTAGCGGGAGAGACAATTAGGAGGAAAACCGATCGCGACTGGCTGCGACGTGTTAATCCCGTCGCAGTCGCTTTTTCGACCGAATTGTCGCGCGCACAATAGGAGTCCGACGAGGAAAAAAAAAAGCAGGCGCGCCCGAACGACGCGAAAATATGATCGACGAATTTTTATCTCGTTTCGCTAGACGCACGACAGACGCCGGCGGGCGCGGATATAAGCGAGCTATATTTTTTTCGTACGACCCTCGCCGCCGGCCGCCGCCGGCTTGATAATTGGAAGCGTTCAATTAGCGTGCCTTAATTGCGGAGCGAACCGCAACGCGGGTGCCGATTCTCAAACTACAATTAATGGCTATCACCTTTCTAATTAACGAGGAACGATGCTCGCGCGTGTATCGATCGTCGCGCATGATAAAAAGGATATCGCGAAGAATGGTACAAGCGCGAAAAGGGATGCGATTCGACGCAGGGTAACGCGAGTGGATCGACATACGAAAAACCAAATGCCTTAAATACACTTAAAAATTACGCCCGAAGATCATGAAGTTTAATCGTCCTTCACCGTCGGGGAAAGAAACGCCGAAGCGATTTTCTTTTATGCGAGATTCTTATCGAAATCCTGTTCGATATTGTAGTTTTGTAGGTAGATACGCTGTGTATATACGACACGGCCGAGACGCAAGTACG